GTGCACCATGTGGCAAGCGAAGGTGATGATGCGAAGGTGATGATGACCACATGCCAAGTGTGAATGTCAGAGTGCTCTAAGTGCACGGAGTGTTTCCTTTTTAAAACATTTTTTTAAACCGTGGTGCGAGAGCTCTCACGCCGAGTTTTAACTATCAGAGCACACCCGGGGTGTGCTCTGATAGTTAAAACCTGATTATGTAGCTCTCGACAGTGATTAATTCCCTAGGCTGCAGCACTCCTTCCATGTGTCTGCCAGCCCCCCTCCTGTCCTCCCCACCCGGCCCCCTCTCCGCCACTGTTCTCTGCCTCTCAGACTCCACTGGTTTTTATCTCAGACTTACGTAGTGCTGGCTTTGTTTTCTCACAGCGAGCCCTTGTACCTGCATATCTCTAAAGGATGGTCCTGCCATGGAGTGGTTCCGCTGCCTGTTACTATCACTGTAAATATGGGAGCACAGTGCCTGGGGGCTATACGATTTGTACATGTTCTTTTGTATTTGAATATAAGTCTAACCCCCCCCCCACCCCTGTCCTTCTTCTCCTCTGGTCCCTCCTCTCCTCCCCTCTCTCGTCCTCCTTTCCTCTCTGTCTCCTCCATCATCCATCGGCCCTTTTTTCTGTAAAAGGGGGGTTAAAAAAACAGGTGTGTTTGAGCTCAGTGTACAGTATGTGTCCTCTTTGTCCCCATGCTCCCCGTGTCCCTTGGACTGTCCCCGCTGAGTGTGCTTTGTGCAGGAGGTGGGAACTATTGATGTCTCTCTGTACGTACCTGTGGAACACTTGTGACTCCTATCATTGGCCGCTGTAAATAAACATGTCCTGGTAGAAGACAGCGAGACGTTGTCGTTCCTGATCTCACTTTCTTCTTTCTACCGACTTTCCATCTTATATGTGGGTGTCCAAAAAAGCTTTAAAAGCAAACATTTTTATTTATACAGTAGTTTATCCCTTTAGCCCACAAAGCCACAGGTAAGTTTAGCATAATGAAAAGGTCATTTTTCAAAACTAGCACCTCCAAGGCTTAAATGAAAAGTTGTAGGCCAGCCTTTGTGAAAATCATTTTAAACCAGTTTCAAATGTTAACATTATGATACGTTAGCATATACACTCACTGGTCACTGTATTAGGTACACCTGTTCAACTGCTTGTTAATACAAATATCTAATCAGCCAATCACATCGCAGCAGATCGGTGCATTTAGGCATGTAAACAAGGTACAGATGATCTGCTGAAGTTAAAACAAAGCATCAGAATGGGAAAGAAAGGTGATTTAAGTGACTTTAATCTTGACACAGTTGTTTTTGCCAGACAGCTGTGAGTGTTTCTGAGTGTCTCAAAAAATGCTGATCCACTGGCGCAACCATCTCTAGCGTTTACAAAGAAGGCTTTGATAATGAAATTACCCAGTAAGCAGCAGTTCTCTCCTGACAAAGATGTCTTGTTAATGTTCACACTGGCTCATCATAACTCAACAAAAGAAGATTGGAAAACGTTGCCTCATCTGATGAGTCACAGTTTCTGCTGATACATTTGGTCTGGTGAGCATTTGGCATAAACAAGGCAAGGCAAGTTTATTTGTATAGCACAATTCAACAAGGTGATTCAAAGTGCTTTACAGAGACATTAGAAACAAAAAC